CAAAAAAAAAAAAAAAAAAAAAAAAAAATATACACACACACACACACACAACACGTAAAACACACACACACACACAACTGAATATAAAATTCATAATGTATAACCATTCAAACCTACAAACATATCCACATATATTTAGATTTTTTGGTCTTAAATGGAATATGTGCTTAAACCTTTAAAATAAAGAGTGAACTTTTAAAATAACAATATATTTTTTATAAATGCCTTCCATATAATTTATATTAGTTATTAGTTTTTCCTCTTCACCTTTTAATTAATCTTAGTTTAAAATACATATTTTTAAAGTAGTACTTTTAGTTGCCCTTAAGTACTACTTTTTTACTTTAGTGTATAGTCACTGTAATATTTTAAACTTCATAGTTTGAGTACAGTTTGAGTCCATAAACAAAACCTATTAGACAGTTGACTGTGTAGAATTCTGTACAAATTTCTCTCTTCTTTTTTTTTCTGAGTTGGAGTCTCACTCTGTTGCCCAGGCTGAATGAAGTGTAGTGGCATGCCTATAGCCACCCCATTGTCAACCTGCTGGCCTCAGGAGAGCCTTCTGCCTCAGCCTTCCAAGTAGCTGGAACTACAGGTGCATGCTACCGCACCTGAATAATTTTTTGATTTATTGTAGAGATGAGATCTCTCCAAATTGCCCAGGTTGCTCTCAAACCCGTGGACTGAGGCAATTCCCTCACCTCAGCCTCCCAATGAGCTGGGATTACAGGCTTGAGCCACTGTGCCTGGCCACAAATTTCTTTTCCTAATGTTAAAAAAGCAGCTTTGCATGCTGTGAATCTTGACTTTAGGAAATCTTTGTGGTATAATTAATGAAAAAGACCAGGAACTCAGGAGTGAAAAGTCCAAAATTCAAGGTTCTGATCTGCCTGGATGTGGTTGCACACACACACCACCATACTCCCAGCTCTCTAGATTTGGGCAACTGACTTACCCAGTCTGATCTGCAGTTTCCTCAAACTTATTTTTTTCTCTTAATTTTTATTTTGAAATTGTAGGGTACAATTCAGGGTTAGGTATACAAATGTTCATTGTGCAGTTACCCTTATTGATGGGGTGTGCCCCCCATTCCCCAGGCGGGTATTGACTACTGTCAATGCCAGCTACCCACCCCCCCCCCCCCCCCCCCCCTGCAGTTTCCTGCTACTTTCAATTCCTTTCCTACAGTAATACCAGTAATACGGTAGTTATTCAAGGTCCACTTATGAGTGGGAACATGTGATACTCAGCTCTTTGTTTCTGTGAGAGATCACTCAGTATTATAAACTCTAATTCCATCCGTGTTGCTGTGAAGTTCATGATTTTGTTCTTCTTTATGGCTGCATAATATTCCATGGTATATATGTACCACATTTTTTTAATCCAGTCCTCTTTTGATGGGCAGCATGGTAGGTTCCATGTTCTTGTTACTGTGAACAATGCTGCAATAAACATATGTGTGCAGGTATCTTTTTTATAGAGTGACCTGAGTTCTTCTGGGTATATTCCCAGTAGGGGGATTGCGGGGTCATATGGAAGGTCAATTTTTAGAACTTTTAGGAATCGCCACACTGATTTTCACAGAGGCAGTACTAGTTTGCACTCCCACCAACAGTGTAGAAGTGTTCCCTTTTTACCACATCCTCTCCAGCATCTGTGATTTTTTGAGTTATTGTTGATGGCTATTCTGACTGGAGTTAGGTGGTATCTCAGTGTAGTTTTAATTTGCATCTCCTTGATGACTAGTGAGTCTGAACATTTTTTCATGTGTCTGTTGGCTGTTTGTATGTCTTCTTTTGAGAAGTGTCTATTCATATCTTTAGCCTACTTTGTAATGGGGTTGTTTGTTTTTTTCTTTTCAGCATGTTTGAGTTCGTTGTAGTCCTTGATGTTTGGCCTTTGTCAGACATGGAGTTGGCAAATATTTTTTCCCAGTCTGTGGGCTTTCTCCCTGCTCTCTTGATGGTTTCTTTGACTTTGCAGAAGCTTGTCAGTTTAATGAGGTCCCTATCTTATCTCTTATAATATGAAAACTACAAAACACTACTCAAAGAAATCAAAGATGACACAAACAAGTGGAAAGATATTCCATGCTCATGGATGGGAAGAACCAACATTGTTAAGATGTTCATTTTACCTAAGGCAATCTACAGATTTAATGCAACACCCATCAAATTACTAGCAACATTCTTCTCAGACCTAGAAAAAACAATACAGGAATTCATATGGAAACATAAACGACCAAGAATAACCAAAACAATCCTCAACAAAACAAAAACAAAACCAAAAAAGTCAGAGGTATCACACTTCCACACTTTAAACTGTACTGTGAAGCTACAATAATCAAAACAACCTGGTATTGGTATAAGAACAGGCATGTAGACCGATGGAATAGAGTTGAGATTCCAGAAGCAAAACCTCAATCTCTGAACCAACTCATCTTCAACAAAGCCTCCACCACCCACTACTGGGGAGAGGAAAACCTATTCAGTAAATGGTGCTGGGAAAACTGGCTGATCACATGCAGAAGATTGAAACAGGACTCCTACCTGTCTCCATACACAAAAATTAACTCTAAGTGGATTACAGACCTAAATGTAAAACCTCAAACTGTAAGAACCTTAGAAAATGCAGGAGACACTCTTATGGAAGTTGTAACTGGCAACCAATTCCTGATCAAAACCCGAAGTATCCTCAAACTTTTTATGAGATTTTTTGAAGGTCATATGCTTTTCTTTATGTGAAGCATATGAAAAAAGTATGTTCTAAGCAATTAAGTGTTCTCCACGTGTAACTTATTTGAATAATTTATCAATCATAAAGATTCAGTTAGCCAAGTTCTTCCTAGCTTTGGGTCAGGTCTTTGTTGAACCATTGTCCCTTCTCTCATTATTTTCTTAACATTTCTACTTGCTTGATAATGCTTCTTTGAGTAGTAGAATGAATTTTGTTTATTATGAGAGTTATCTATTTAGCTATAAATATTTGATATTCATTAGTAGACAATTATTAGGGAAAATGGATATTTAAATTTTATATTCTCAGAGGTATAAGAATTATGTATATCCACAGAACACACTTAAGGAAAAATGAAAAAGTCTAGGGATTATCTATTTCAGTTTTCAAATTTAAATAAAAGTTGTAACAATTTAGAATGGCTTTTAACTCTATTTTCACTTATGAAAGAAGCTTTAGATACTGTGGGTTTTATCAGCGAAATTCTTTTTATGAAGGAGGGTGGATGAAGGGAAATAATATTTACTGGTCTAGTCTCTCCTGCACCAGGGAATCCCAACCTGACCACTCAACAGAATTGGCCCTAAAGTAAAATTTGTATGGTAAGTGACTTTAACCTGTGACAAGACAGGTGAAATTGCACAGCTTGCCTTAACACTATTATCTCTGAGTGACAGGATGGTATGTTTTCAAGTTTCTGTCACTTAATTAGCAATCTTTGAAAACAAAGATT